ATATTTAAAAATATTTAAAAAATCTCCTTTTTTTAAATTAAGATATTTTAACATTTTTTAATAAAAATTTATTAAAATAACATAATTTTAAGTATTTTTTATTTTAATTTTTAAATATATTTTTATACCTCCCTTTTTGATAACATAATTATGTCATGAGTTATAATTAAGTCTTCTAAAATCAAATAAGTAACTATATACGAAATCGTTTTCGTTTATCAAGCAAAAGTAAACTAACCATAACTGATGCCCTGTAGAATTATAAATCCTACTAGAAGATAAAACTAATTATATATTATATTTTTTTTAACAATGCAATAGAATGTTTTGCGCCATTAAAAAAAATGCAATAGAATATTGGGAATGGTAAAAGGAAAAGGTTTTTTTTTTTTTTTGAAAATAGGCAATATTAAGGGAAAAAAATTAAATTGAGCTATACAAGTGAGAAAAGGTTTTAAAAGGATAAGAATTAGCATTGCCAAATGGTAATACATCAGAGAAAAATTTAGCATGAAAGCTTATAGCTAAACTCCAGTTAATATGTTGTAGTTTTTGGTTTTATAAATTTTATAATTATTGAAAAAAAAAACTTAAAAATAAAAAACTAATATAATTTGTTTAAGATGAGTTATATTAATTCCAACAAAAAAATATAAATTTGTATAATAATATTAAAATTAATTTTGTTTCTATTTTTTAATATTATGATAATATGTTATAAAAACACACAAAAGTAAATGAATTTTTTTATTAAAGGAGCAAAATTTATAAAAATCAAAACAAAAAACTCAAAATCATAGCCATACTAAGTAGAGTCTAAGTTAATCATTTGTGTCTTCAATGGAAAATTAAAAATCCAATTAATTGGTTGGGTGATAAATTTTTTTTTTTTTTTCAAACAAGTGAGTTTTTGAGAGAAAGGGAGAATTATTACAACTGTTTCTATAAAAACTTAAATTTTGATATGGGTTAAAATTTTTGCTATAAATTGCTACAGCCCAATGAGGCTACCAGTGCGGTTTGGTGATAATTTAGTGTAATAAAAGTAAGTGAAAAAATTAAAATAAATTTCTTATTTGCAACACAGAATTAAAAGAAAATTTGACAATTAAATATTTAAGCTCTTGGTTGTTATGATTGTGATTATTGATTTTTAATTTTGACTTTCATAATTTTTTTGTAACTATTAAAAGTTAAACTAAAAATTCTTAAAAAGTTACTTAAAATGAGTTTTAAAATAAAAAATATAAGTTATTTTAATAGTATCAAAATTATTGTTTATCATTTTTTTAATAATTATGATAATAAATTACAAAGATATAGAAAAATAAATAAATTTTTTATTTAAAATTATAAAAATTAAAATTAAAAATTACAATTATATTAATTGAACCCTTAACAAATAAGTACTTTTTCTATTTATTAATCTTTACGGAGCAGGACGGGTGATTGATTTAAACTCTACAGACGAATGGTGAGTGAAAAGGGTTAAAGCCAATTATAGTCCCTCTACTTTCAATTTTTGTTCATTGTCCTACCTTTACTTACAAATCATTCAAAATTCTCCCTCTACTCCTCCAAACCATACTATTGTCCTCCCTCTACTTTAACTTTCCATTACATTTACCTCCTTCCTCTAACACTCCTCTAACAGCACCCTAACATTGTTATAACTCCCATTTAACAGACTGCTAAGTGTAATATATATTTTTTTGTTTGAATTGTATTTATGCTTGGGCCCTACAAGAATCCATGCTAGCAAACTAAAGTTTGTCAAGTTGTTAGGTGCAATAAAAATCTAATTTCTCCAATTAATTAAGATTAATACCATTTTTAATTGATTATACAGAGATTTGTTTACCATTTTATATATATTTATGGTTTTGCTTGATTTGTTTAAAGAAAGTATAGTTTGGTTGTGTTGTCATAAATTCAAGGTTTATGACTTTGTTATTGAATAATTATAAAATATATATATATATATGTGTGTGTGTTTGTCAATCGAATCTCTAAAAAATTAAGGGAAAAAATAATCCAAAACTACATCATTTTTATAAACTTCTATTGAAAAAATCTAAAATAACCTATTTTTAAATCAAGAATTAAATTGTTTTGATCTTTTCCTATAATGCTTTAAAGAAATAATGTAGTTTTCTTCTAATTTTTTTGAGATCCAATTGATAAAAATTAATTTTAACTCCAAGGGGTAGATTCACTAATAAATAAGTATTGGTTTATATGTTAGATCTAGGATTCAAGTTGCATTAGTTTATAGGCCAAATCCAGGATTCAAGTTTTGGGACTAACACCTAAAAAAATTAATTTTCTTGAATGCACTAAACTGACATGAGGGGTGCATATTTAAAATCACCTAGGAGAAACAAGTATCAAGGTGTGCAAAAACCAATACAAGGAAACTCTAACTACAAATACTAGAGAGAGAGAGAGAAAAAAAGAAAAACATTAATATCATATTTTTTAATATTTTATCTAATTTATTGAATGAAGTTCTTTATTAGGTGTTTTTTTTTTTTTTTTTGATATGTTATTAGGTGTTTTTTATTTCAAGAACATGTGGGTAGTTAAAAGTTTGCTTTTTGAGTACATAGTATATTTAATCAATTCACATAATCGGAGTTTCTAAATTTGAGCATTGATATTGAATGTTTATGTTATCATTCTTTATTTATGAAAGGGTATCATAGAAATTTTTAGTTCTGCTTTTTCAAAAAAAAAAAAAAAAGGAGAAAAATCTTTAGTTTTGATAATGTTGTTGATACCATTCTTTTTTCTTTTTTTTCGTTTTTTTTTTTTTTTTTTTTTTGCTTTGTAGATTATTTGCATGATGCAAGTATATAGTTTAATTACATAAAATAATTTCAACAGAAAGTCTACTTAGCTAGCTACTTACATGTCCACTCTAAGGTTAGAAAATGAAAAGAAAACAAGATAATGAGTTCTAATTTAAATAATTATTTCATAAATATCAAGTAGGAGAAATCATCCTTTTCTATGTATGTCGTAATTATTTCATGAAAATGCAACAAATACCCTTGAAAATGCAACAAATATGCTTGAAAACTGAGTATATATAATGGTTTTTATAATTTGTTATTATTTCTAGCAAATGCTCTTTATATGAATTTTTATGAGGTTCATAACATAAATTAACAGAAAAAAAAAAAAGAGAGAGAAAAAAACTATTGCATTTAATGATCCATCAAATGGGATTTATAAACGGTGTTAAGGTGTTATGAGGGGAGGGAGGCAAAGGTAATGGAAAGTTAAAGTAGAGGGAGGACAATAGCATGGTTTGGAAGAGTAAAGGGAAGATTTTGAATGATTTGTAAGTATAGAGAGGAAAATGAATGAAAATTAAAAGTAGAGGGACTATAGTTGGCTATAACGCGAGTGAAAAAGGATTTGAACCTTTTCCAATTGAGAACCACCTTTTACACCTATGGGCTTGGGCAAGTGGGGTGGTCACGCTCCTCGGAAGCAAATGTTTTATCCGATCTTTATAGGGTTAAGGATATCTATCGTCCCTCTACTATAAAAAATAATGCATTATAAACCTTCTACTATAGATTAGCTTCATGTCATCATTTTACTATTAATTAACTCCACTTGTCGTCCCTCTACAATGCTAAATCATGCTAATGTAGTCCCTCCGTCTAATGTAAGCTAACGGTGTTGTTTATTGACAGTTAAGTGTAAATGATCAAACCAGTTAGGCTTTTTTTATTTTTCTATTTTGGTTGCCACCTTTGTTTGTGAGCCCCACCCTTGCAAAGAAAAATAGTTTTATTCAAGGGTACTTTTCTGGTCTGCATTGAAGTGAAAAAAGCAACAGATAAATTAAATTCTACAAGAGATCTATTATGTAAAGCATAAATAAATAAATAAAAACTATTCCTAACTATTTGGTGTTTCTTTTTGTCGTTTTAATTATTATTATTTTATTGTGATTTGTTCTTCTTCCTTGTTTAATCTTATTTTATTTGTATTTTTTATTGACTCAAATAAATATATGATTTATTTTTTAGATTTAAAAAATTAAAAATTATCATTAAATATTTAAGTTGTTGATTTATTATACATAATTAATTCAATTATCGTTAAAAATTATCTCATTGCACTAAATTCATATGATGAATTTAAAGTTTATTTGGCCTAATAAATAAACACTTTAGATAAGTAAAAGAAAAGAGAATGATCCGCTATCAGGACTTGAACAATTTATAAAATTTAAAGAAATTTTAACCATGAGATTTCTTTGTTAATTTGTGAAAAAAAATAACTTTTACATAGATAAATTATTAAAAAAAAAAGAAAAGAAAAGAAAAGAAAATTCCTTATGTCATGATTGTAGTGGAATTTCTAAAATTGCAAATAAAGGAAAACAGGAAGAGACATTTGGTTAGTGAAGCAAAATAGGATGATAAATCTCTCATTATTCAAATTCTTACAAAAGATGGTAACTTTAAGAATCTCCAAAACAAAAGATGCTTAATCTGCAGCATCGCATGCAGCCAAAATTATTTTGAATTTTTTTTTAAGTCAACTGTAGCAGGCGGCTGAGCTCACCCTCGCATCTCCTCGTCAAATTTCATCGCCGGAAACTTCAAATCCATCCTAAAACCAAAACGGAATCCAATTTTTCTGATTCCGATCGTCTTCCACGATTCCCTGTGATTTCTTAGGGTTTTTAAAAAACCCTACCAGTAATCCGCATGGCTCGTAGATTCCTCTTCAGGTGACCGCACATTCAACTGCTTTTTCCTGTTAAAACTTGGTGCCAAGATTAGGGCCTCCCTGAGAGGAAGGGACAGAACCGAAAACTGGAGGAAGAAATTAAGGAGGAGCCGGAGATTTCCCATATTTTCTATTTCAGGAATTTTTATTTAGGGATTCAGATGGTATTCAGATGGGTTTCGAAAGGAAGAAAGAAATTGGGGAAAATATTTGGGGATTTCTGATTTGGGTTTCGAAGGAAAGGAAGAAACCCAGATTTTTGATTTGGGGATATTGATTTAGGAATTCGGATGGGCTTTCGAAAGGAAGAAAGAAATTAGGGAAAAGAGAGTGATTTGGGGATTTCTCATACGCTGTGAAAGATGATGTGGCAAGAGATGATGTGGCAATGGAAAGGGCCCACAAACAAGGGTGGCAACCAAAAAAAAAATAAAAAAAGCCTAACTGGTTTGACCGTTTACACTTAACGGTCAATAAACAACACCGTTCGTTTACATTGGACGGAGAAACGACATTAGCCTGGTTTTGCATTGTAGAGGAACGAGAAGTAGAGTTAATTTAGAGTTAATTAATAGCAGAGAGACCATAAATGGCCTTAATCCATCTTTATAAAAAGGATCAGGATAGGTGGATACAAATTATGCAAAATTAGTGTTGTTTTTCATTTAAAATTTATTTTAATTTTTGAGGAGAGACAAATAATTTTTTTTACTTTAATTTTATTTTTATTCATTAACTTTAATTAATTGTTTTTATATTTTTTTAAAAATGATATAAATAAATATTTAAATTATTTTTAAATTTTTTTATAGATTAAATAGTTAAATACTTAATCTAAAAAATTTAAACCCATAATCTTAATGTTAAATAAAAAAATTTTAATTAAAGAATATTAATTTCACCAAACACTCGGTATTCCCTTCAAACTTCTAATATATAAAATGACCATCTTGTTCGCACTATTTCATTCGTTAAGTCCAGAATGGAAAATAGAATATTAGCCATTCCAGAAGTAAGGTATCTATGTTTGCAAATTTTCTACTTTATATTTTAATTAAAGAATAGTATAATTACTCATTATTTTATTAAAATAATTTTAAAATTATTTAATTTAATTAATAATTTATTTTTATATAATTTTTTAAATAAATAATTATAATATTTGAAAATATTAATTATTTTTAATAACTAAATTAAATATAATTAGATAATGTCAACAAAATAATAAATGTACACATCCACTTAAATTTTTAATACGTGCAAAAGAGCGTATATGACTAAAATAAAAACTATATGATAGAAGAACTACAGCCACTAAATAAGTAAATAAAAATATCATTCTACTGATACTGGTTGGTTGGTTGAGGGAGACAATACCTGTGGGCCATTCAACCTATAAAAAAGCAATTCCGTAATTTAAAGCAAAGGTCGACCTGCTACCGTAAACCACTGCAACTTGCTCCTTTCATTTCTCCTCTTCCCATCCATCCTGCGCCTGCAGAAGAAAGAGAAAATTCTCGGGAAAAAGAAAGAAATTGAACTCATTCAAACTAAATCTTGTGTGGTTTCCTTCTTTTTCTCTGACTTGGAATAGGAGGAGATGAAAAGCTGTGAGCTCTGCAAGTTTCCGGCAAGGACCTACTGTGAATCGGACCAGGCGAGCCTGTGTTGGGACTGCGATGCTAAAGTGCACGGAGCAAATTTTCTTGTAGCGAGACACTTGAGGTGTCTCCTATGCCAGACGTGTCAATCTCCAACTCCGTGGAGAGCCGCTGGTGCTGAGCTTGGCCGGACCGTTTCCGTTTGCGAGAGTTGCCTCGGCGGTGGCGAGGGAGCAGAGAGCGAAGCGGAAAATGAGGATGATGAGATGGATAATACTGCTGATGATGAGTCAGTTGAGCATGATGACGACGACGACGCGGATGATGAGGAGGACGGAGATAATCAGGTGGTGCCGTGGTCCTCGGTAGCTAATACACCATCGCCAGCTTCAAGTTCTTTGAGTAGCGAAGAATCTGGCGGTGATAGAAAGGTTTCCGAATCTGTTAAAGCATCTTCTTTGAAAAGAGGGAGAGAAAATGCTTCAGATCTTCGCACTCAGGTTTGTAATTTTCTTCAATTTCGCCTAAACTTTTCTGTTTTCCCCTGTTGTTACATTTGAAACTAGAGACTAACCATGATTCGCATGAATGGTCAGGATCTCTTGTCGTTGATGCCATCGGACAATCTTAGCAGTGCATCTTCTCAACAGAAGTACGGTACGACATTGGAGAGTCCGTGGAGTCTGGAGGAGGAGGCGGCGGTTTCTGCTGACACAATGAGGTCCTGGAAATGGAAGCACCAACGGATCGAAAGGGACATTCCGGTTCATTTTCAGTCCTGTGTGATTTCCCCGCCCGCCGTCAGTTCGCTCAAGAGATTAGGGTCAAAAAATTTGGGGAAAGAGTCCCATTCCTTTGATCTCAATACCTAGGGGAAACTGCTGTGTTGTTTCCGATCTGACCTCTTCCTCCAACCATAGTCCTAATGTTCTTTGATTTCAAGTTGATTAATCAAAGAGTTGATTTGTTTTGATTTGTTCTGAGGCTATAATTCTGTTCTTACAGAGTGTGCTTCTTGTTTGGTTGATCAACCTTATGTTACATTATTTTGAAAACAATGTCGGTTCCACGTTGTTCTTTCTGCCTCTATTTTAATATATTTGATTATGGGTTGTATCCAAGAGCTTGTAGCAGGGTTGGTACCAATAATTTCGGATCATGATCATGGGTTGTGCCTTTTTTTGCTTAATATCAAGCAGCTAAGTCTATACTAATTAAATTCTATCTCTGCGATACTAACTAAAGTCTATCTCTGCTGAATGGCTCCTTCCTTCCGGCCCAGTGATATTGAACTTGGGTTAGGATTGTCCAATTCTGTGAGTGACGTGTTTCACAGTCCTATAAAACTCATTTCTCCCTCTCCATATATACTTGTAAATAATGTCAAAATTGTTTAAAAAAAAAAAAATCTATCTCTGCTATTACAGGTTTGAACTTTGGGAATTTTAACTTTAATTTTTAACCTGTAATCGAGTAAGAAATGGGAGATTGAATTTGTTTGAAATTTGAATGGGTGGCTGGCCACGCTCCTGGGTGGGTGAATCTGTAAGGTCAGTATGGAGCAGGGACAGCCTCTTTGAAACTTTGTACACCATACATTTCATAGGCTGACCAGCACCACCATTCACCCCTCCACTAAGGTGACAGAGCAATTGTCACTGGAAAAGGGTTAATTCTTCTTTTATTAATTATTAACTTCATTGACAGGCTGATGATCTGTGTAAAACAAGTTTGGTATCCGGGAAAGAAGTTTGATACTTTTGAATTTAAAATTTTTAAATAAAAAAATAAATATTAAAAAAATATTTTTTTATAAAATTTAATGTGATTTAATTTTATATTAATTGAAATTTAATATGATTATTAGACAGTGAGAGACTAGTAAAAAAAACTACTAACTTGATTTTATTTTAGTTTAAAATTTTATTTTTTTAGATAATTTATAAATTTTATAAAATATTTTAAAATAGTTAACTATATGAAATTTTTATTAATTTTTACAAAAAAATAACATAAAATTAAATCAAGATAAAAATCAAATAGTCTTACTTAGCAAAATCGTTCACACAACGGTGTAAACTATTAAAAAGGAACTATTAAAGGGGAAAACTAAAATAATATGTGATAAAAATTATAATTTTTCATATAGTGCAAAAGAATTTATCATTTTTCATAAATTTAATTTTGTTTTAAAATTAATTTTAAAAGTAAAAAATTTATAAAAAAATATAGTTGAAAATCAATTTAATCAAATGGAGTAAAACGGTTGTTAAAAAATTAATAAATTAAATTAAACTGAAATAAAAATAGAAGAAGTAAATAAATTTAAAAATATTTAAAAATAATAGATAAAATAAAAAAAATAAAATTTATTAAACTGTTTATTAAATCAAACAAGTGGAAAACTACAATTGCAATTGCCTCCATGTATGTACCAATGGTGGGGGACCCCTACTGGCCCATGTGGCTGCCCTTAAAAGACACTGCTACTAATTTGAGCCCAAAAAACCAACTACACCCATGACTAGGGGTGTTCGCGGTG